CCTTTCCGTCCTACCCTTCCTCACTCCCAGCCCATGCCGTCATCATCCGAGGCACCCAAGACAATGGCCGGGTAGCGGACACGAGAGAAGATCTGTGCGATAATTAAAGTGATCGGCTTTCTTCCCCGAGCCTGACGCGAGCGCCGTTGTCTGCTTGGGGATAAGGCCAGGAGGTGACGCGTCACGCAATCATGTGTGTCCTGGTCTATGCACAATCTTCACGCGAGGCGAGGCAAGACTATGCCCTAGCATGGAATGTCTTGTTTCTCATAATATGAATATGATTTCCAGATATTCGGCTAAGTCAAATATTAATGCCCCCCCCCCTTTCAAAAAAGAAAAAAACAATTGCAGGGTTGGCCTAACATATAGAAACATATGTCTCCGCTCGAAGATTACCGCAACAAAGGATTTTAAAAAATAAAGTAAAAGTTGAAGTAAAAGTATTCCTACACCCTCTCTCAAATTATGAGTGTGCACTGTTTTATATATCACGAAGATTGCACTGTAAACAACAGCACCGTGCTAATGGAGTAAGTTCTGATGTGGTTTGCTTCTTCTATTAGTATTTACTGTCGATCTTTTCTTGCCCTCTTTCTTTTTTAAAGTGTGTTACCCACTTGTAACTCTAATATTTGGCACCTATATCGCCTAAAGTTTTACAAATGCTGTAAAACCCCTCTCAAACCAAACCAAGAGGCGTGATCTCGGTTTTGACATCGGCATGTTTTGTCCGAAGAGAACCACATCGACAAGATAGATATCATTTAGAGCAGGGGTAAATAGAATAGTCAGAGAGAAAAAAACAGGGTAAAGTGAAAGACGTTTGACGTAGTACATACCAGTGGCCCTCTCAGACAGACTTCGACGTCTCTGGTGTAGTAGATCGGCTTTTAATTCGATGTTACTCTAAAAAAAACCAACAACGTGATTTCAGCTCCTGAATGGAGAATTTATAATTTTCTCGTTATATGAGGATCTAGAGTATCCAGATTGTTCAGTCTGCTAGGGTGTTGTATCTTACCCAGCCCTAGTTAGCTGTGACATGCAGAGACGAAGCAGGTTGTCTCTTACATAACCAAATGTGTTACGGTTCTCTTTCTTTATAGAATACTTATTTCTCCTCTGACTCTTTCCGTCCTCTCTTTCCCTCCTCCTCATCTCA